GGCGACAGTTTCACAGATCGTAGCCCCCCAGCGCTGGCGAGGTCTAATCTGAGTCCCCGTAGGACGTCACTCCGCTGGCCCCCCAGCAGACTTCGAAAGTGGCGACAGTTTCACAGATCGCAGCCCCCCAGGGATGGCGAGGTCAAATTTTAATCCCCGTAGGGCGTCACTCCGCTGGCCCCCCCACGCAGCCTTCGAAAGTGGCGACAGTTTCACAGATCGCAGCCCCCCAGGGATGGCGAGGTCTAATCTGAATCCCCGGAGGGCGTCACTCCGCTGGGCCCCCCAGCAGCCCTGGAAAGTGGCGACAGTTTCACAGATCGCAGCCCCAAGGAATGGCGAGGTCTATTCTGAATCCCCGTAGGGCGTCACTCCGCTGGGCCCCCCAGCAGCCCTCGAAAGTGGCGACAGTTTCACAGATCGCAGCCCCCCAGGGATGGCGAGGTCTAATCTGATCCCCGTAGGGCGTCACTCCGCTGGGCCCCCCAGCAGCCTCGAAAGTGGCGACAGTTTCACAGATCGCAGCCCCCCAGGGATGGCGAGGTCTAATCTGAATCCCCGTAGGGCGTCACTCCGCTGGGCCCCCCAGCAGCCTCGAAAGTGGCGACAGTTTCACAGATCGCAGCCCCCCAGGGATGGCGAGGTCTAATCTGAATCCCCGTAGGGCGTCACTCCGCTGGGCCCCCCAGCAGCCCTCGAAAGTGGCGACAGTTTCACAGATCGCAGCCCCCCAGGGATGGCGAGGTCTAATCTGAATCCCCGTAGGGCGTCACTCCGCTGGGCCCCCCAGCAGGCCCTCGAAAGTGGCGACAGTTTCACAGATCGCAGCCCCCCAGGGATGGCGAGGTCTAATTGAATCCCCGTGGGCGTCACTCCGCTGGGCCCCCCAGCAAGCCTCGAAAGTGGCGACAGTTTCACAGATCGCAGCCCCCCAGGGATGGCGAGGTCTAATCTGAATCCCCGTAGGGCGTCACTCCGCTGGGCCCCCCAGCAGCCTCGAAAGTGGCGACAGTTTCACAGATCGCAGCCCCCCAGGGATGGCGAGGTCTAATCTGAATCCCCGTAGGGCGTCACTCCGCTGGGCCCCCCAGCAGCCCTCGAAAGTGGCGACAGTTTCACAGATCGCAGCCACCCAGGGATGGCGACCGCAGGCGGGAGGAGGCGGGAAGGAAGGAAGGAAGGAAGGAAGGAAGGAAGGAAGGAAGGAAGGTGGAGACCGCAGTGCTCTATTCAAAACGAGTACCCAACGCAGGAGGGTTGGGAACAATTTGCACCAAAATCTGGATCATGCGCGGACTCCCCGCGATCATTTTGTGTGTGTGTGTGTGTGTGTGTTCTTGTCGGGGACGGGTGGGGGGGGGGCATGTCGCCTGCTGTGCGCAATGCCAGTTCACCCCAACGATCCCTGACAGAAGACAATATATAGCGCACGTTGGGGCAACACTTAGATTTAAGTCGGGTGTGTCCCCCTACAAGCGGATTTTGGCGAAAACATGAAAATACGGAACAGTACCCCCAAAGAGTCACACACGCTTAAAAAATCGTCCCCTGACTATTTTTTGCCCATTTCGAATTCCCCTCCTGTAGAGGGACATGCCCGACTTCAACCTAGAGCATGCGCGGGCACCAAGCGATCACGCTGCACGGTTTTAGGCACGTGCGGGAGGGGTGCCAGCATTTTGCTTGCTGCGCGCAGGCCCATCATCCCTGTCAAAAGACAACAATATATTAGAGACATATATATATATATACACATACAGATATTTGATATCAGACATGTATGTCTATACACACATATATACACATATTCTGGCAACGATCATGCGCGAGAGCCCCGCGATCACATTGCATTGATATTTAGAAGGGGTGATAAGGGGATGCCCTGGCACGCGCGGCGCACTTCGTGGGCGTCGCGCACCTGGCTGGCGGCTACAATGGCTCCTGGTCATGGCCGATGTGGCGGCCCCTGCCATGCTGAGATTCGCATGCCACTCGTGTGGTGAAGGGCGGGTCGGAGTGAGCGAGACGGCTTGCGGCTTTTGGGTAGCTCGATCTCTATTTCCTATCAATGAACGCCCAACTTCCCACCCGACCGGCAGCCAACCCTCCCCACCCGACCGGCAGCCAACTGAGCCCCCCCCCCCACCATCCCTGCCAAAAAGCATTACTGGTGGAAGGGCGGGTGGAAGTGAGCGAGGCGGCCGCCCTTCGCAGGGGGGAAGCTTGGCCCATCCCCCCGACCTCCTCCTCCTCCCGGGTCTGGGCGGGGGGTGGTCGCGGGTGCTTAGCGCGCCAAGTGTGCCCTCAGCGACGAAGCTCAAGCCATTCTTACTTTTTCGTAGGTCTCGGGCCCATTTTGGCTTCCTGGGGTGGCAAGGCTAATTGAAGACCCTCTGGTGTTTCAAACTGGACCCAGGGCGGCCCGAAAAGCTCCCCAGAGGGTCCCAAGAGGCGGCCCTGAAGAAGCACCCGAGCGGCCCCGACGAGGCCCAGGAGGCCCCAAGAAGCCCCACAGATGGCCACGAGGCTCCCAAAGACGCCCCAAGATGCCTCCAAAAGGGCCCCGAAGGACATCTCCTGGGCATCCTCCCTGGATAGGCTGTTGGGGATACGCTGGCCGCTGAGAATTAGACCTTGCCTTTCTGGGTGCAGCGCACGGCGCAACCATCACCATTTTCGCGATCTCGGGGGAATGCCGAGCATACACCAAAATCGATCCTGACCAAGATCTGAATGGGCCTGTCCAGGATCGGTGTTGGTGTACACAATCAGCGCCCTCCAGAGGAGGGATGGAAGAAGTGATGCGCAAATGGCCCTGCTGAACGGAGAGTGCATGCTTCGAGTGAGGTCCGATTCCGTCTGAACTCCTTGCCTGGCAACGCCACCCTGCTCGCCCGATTCTTGCATGCCTCTCGCTGCCTCGTGGAAATCCCCCTGGTATACGTGCGCGATGCACGGTGCCTTACAACGACCGCCCGTGAACACCTTCATCCGCTAGCGAAGAGGAGGCGGAAGAGCAGCCCCCCACCGCAAGTAAGCCAGGCCGCTGGCACAGCTCAAGTCGAGGGAGTCCTCCTTGAGGGTGTCCGCCTCCTCCTCGGCTTGCTCCTTGCTGATGTGCTCCTGAGTGGGCAGGGCAAACAAGGCTGGGATGCGGGGTGCAGAATCCACCGGTACACATATACATACATCTGTATATCATTATGTGCTGCCGACCGTGGATCCCAAACAATGCTTCGAACATCCCATGTGGTGCAACTGGTGTGGTGCAATACATGTTGTGCAAAGTATGCCGTGCAATCGATGCTATGCAATCTATATGGTGCACCCTGTGTGGTGCAATCTATGTTGTACAATCCGCCTTGCAGAACTTGAAGCTGACAAATCCACTGCTCGCGCAGTCAACCCGCCCACTCACCAATAACTTGGCTTGCAAAAGCGATGCGGCAACGGTTGCGGTGGCTGCTTGGCGCTGGCTGGCGCATCGCCTCGGCCGCGCTGGCGCGCGCAGGCTCGCGCGCAAAGCGGCCAGCTAGTCTGTCGCGACCGACGCGGCCGCGGTGGCGCTGACCGCTGGGGACTTCCCAACGTATCGCGCACGCCGCGCTGACGCGCGGGCACTGCAGTGCGAGTCGGTGACTCGGGTGGGCGCGGTATCATGGCTACGTCGGCAACGGCAGACACGATGGTGGTAGTAGCTGACGATGACGACGGCAAGGCCGATGACGGCGCCGATGCTGGTCACGCCGATGTAGATGATGGTGTCCACGTGTCGGTGATGAGGGTTTTGGAGCGATTTCGAAATGCGCGCTCGGCCGACGGGCGCGAGTGGCCAGCATTGTATTAGTTGACAGGGATCGTGCCCCCCAGCAAGCGCGCAAGGTCGTCCGAATGATTACGACATGCGCGCCCGAGAAGTCTGCTTGGCCGAACTGAAAATATCGGATAAACGATGGCTTCTTACGAATTCGCAAAAGCGCGCAAGCTTGTTTGACAATTCATGCCGTAACACCGGTGTCCATACATATATCGTACACATACACACGTATACATATATACATATACATCTAGATACATCGTGGAACTCGATTTTGTCACCCGTGCGAAACGTACGACTTGTGACACATTTGACATGCGCGCGCGACGACACGCGCGTTTCGACATCGTCAGTTTTTCTTTTTTACGAATGCACGCGCATAATATCATTTGATGGGGACGGGGGGGATCGATAACAAAGTTCTGGTGGGTGCGGGGGTCGCCAATTCCGGGTCGGGGGGGGGGGGAGGGGGTATATCAATTATTTTGAAGATGGAGAACCTATGTGGTGCGATATATGTTGGGAGATCGAATGATTTCGGCATGCCGCGCGACGGGGCACGTTTGGCAGAATTCGATGAACATGTTGACAAACCGATGGTTTCTTGAAAATTAGCAAAAGCGCGAACGCAAGTTATTTTGAAAACTGATGTTGCGAAACCATGTGGTTTTATGGTTTCGGGACACTCGGTTTTGAAACCCCTGCGGGATCCAAGTGTTTTTGTTGTATATATATACATACATGCGGATGCGGTATGCGCGCGCGACAACGCGCGCGTGCGCACGTCGTCTCATTGTTGCAAACGATTCATGGGGACGGATGTTTTTTTGATAAACGAGTGCGCGCGCGTAATGTTTTGCGCAAAGGATGACGGGGGGCCGATACTGGCCTGCCTGGGATGGTATGAACTCGTACTTCGGATGGGCGATGGGGCGTATTCACACATGTACACTGCCGTGCGAAAAGGTGGTGCGTTAAGTCTGGGGGGGAGGTCGATTTCATTGTTTCAAAAGAAAAGCGAACCTGTGGATTACAATCGACTTGGTTGCAACGGAGAAGGGTGTGCAGCGGGGCGGCGGCGACGGGACGGAGCGGAGACGGCGGCAACATGGCCACGAGACCGGCGGTCGGGCCCAGATGACGGGCGGCGACGAGGCGGCGACGGGCGGTGACGGCGATGACATAACCGCCATACTGGCGGTCAGGCCCAGTTCCGCAGAGCAGAAAAGAGAAACCCTACGTACAAGCACTGTTCCGGGAATGACACCATCGACCAGTATGTGGTTGAATCTTGCTGTGTATGTATACGTGCGCATGAACATACATGTACAAACGCTACTTCTTGACACGCGCGTGCAACAATCCGTCTTTACTCCAGATCGACCAAAGCCTTTCGTGCTTCGGCCTGGAGACCCAGGGTGTGCACACACCAGGCCACGTCCACCACGGGACCTGTGGCGAAGGAGGCCTGGTGCAGCGCGTCGCTTCACCGATCGGAGGGGGTTCGGAAGGGGGAGTGGCAACCCTGCAGTCGAAGTGTGGTCACAAGAGCGCGGGTCGAGAGACCAGGCCCCTTCTCCAAAGGTAGTTCCCCCTCCCCTCTCTGTCTCTGTCTATGTCTCTGTCTCTCTCTTTCTCTCTCTTCTTCTCTTTCTCTCTCGCTCTCAACCGTCATCACACACACACACCCAGCAAGCAACGGTGCCTACACGAGCTCTGATAACCAAAGGCACACGGCGACATGCAGATACCCGACAAAGAAGGATAATCCAAGGTGGAGAGCCCAAACACGAATAACAGAACGGTGCACCTCTGAATCCAAGGCTGCTCCTTACGCTCACGCTGGCCGCACCCGCGGGCCACTCTGCACGGGCACCCTGCCAGGCCATCTTGATCACGGTCAGGAACTTGTGCTTAGCGTGTCGCGACGGCGGTCCTGGCGACACGCTATGCCCTGCACGCGGATGTCGTGTTCCTTCGCTCCGCGGGGCGGGAGGCTTGAAAGGCTCGGGACGTTGCCGCTGGGAAATGGGGAAGTGCTTCGCGTGTCGCGCCGAAGCGCAGTGGACCAAAAACGGCGGCGCGACACGCTAAGAAACAGTTCCCGACCGTAGATTCGCGTGCGGGGCTGTTTCCCTTCAGACGGATGTCCCTGCCCCTCCCAGGGCGTGATCCGGGCACGAGGGAAGCAGACGCCATGGGGACGATGCTCACCCCCCCTCACCCCCGCTACTATGGGGAGATGCGAGGAGGGTGAGGAGGGTGAGGAGGTTCCTGCGGTGTGTGTGTGTGTGTGGGATGGTGGACGAGCGTGCTCCTCCTCGCCCTCCTCATGCTCCCCTGCGTGATCGTGGCCGTCGCCGTCCTCCTCACCCCCGCCACTAGGGAAGATGACGGGTGTACGAAGCACGGGGAGAGGAGAGGAGGGTGAGGAGGGTGAGGAGGCCCCTGTGTGTGTGTGGGAAGGTGGACGAGCGTGCTCCTCCTCGCCGCCTCGCCCTCCTCCTGCCCCCCCGCGCGATCGCGGCCGCCGCCGGTCTCCTCGCCCCTCTGAGCGGAGGCCGTGCCTCCCCTCTGCCTCGCCCCTCCTCTTGCCTGCCTCGCCTTCCTGCCTCACCTTTAGGTCGGGCGTGTCCTCCCACAGGACATCCTCTGGAGGAGAATAATACAACAGAAAAGCAGAACCATCCGACATAGTCAGAAGAGCACGAAACATCGTCGCCAGACAATTTTCTACTATTCTTGAATACTCCCCCTGTAGAGGGAAGGGGCATGCCTGGCGTAACCCTACCTGGAGACGCAATTTCTCCCCGCCCCCCAGAATCAATCCAGAGCACACCGGAGGGCCCAAAAACGCCCAAGAGAACAGCACACCGGATCCCAGATCGCAGACGGCGACGTGGCCGTCGTCCCCCAACATTCGGCGCTTAGATCTGTTCTCCGCGCGGGCCCCCGGAACTCTCGACCCCTTCCGCCAAGGCTGGCTTCCCAGACGTGCGACGTCCTGATTTTTTCCATATGGGGTCCCTGGAAGTACCGACCCTTTCCCCGGGACCGGTTTTTCTTCCTAGTCGTTACTTGACGGCCCCGAGGCCCGGCGAGGGCCCCCCCCCGAGGCCGCAACTCGCCAAAGACGCCCCGCCCTGATTTTCTTTAAACGAAGCGATCATGTCTGGGGTTGCATCCCGAGCCACCTTCTTGGCGCCCCCGAGCCCCGAAACTGACCCCCAACGGGGGCAGCGCGTCGGCGTCCTCGACTTCTTCGAGGCGCCTGGTGTTCCAGGGCCTCCTCCGTCCGGACCGTCCGGGGGTCAGGGATCGACCGGCCCCCAGCGCCCACCCCAGGGTGCGCTCGGGAGCCAAAATTGGGCCGACCTCGGATCGGCGGCGAGCGAGGGGGGGAGATGGGAAGGAGAAGGCCTTCTCAGAAGGCGGCGGGACTGCTCAGACGCCCTCGCGCCTTCCGAGAAGTTGATCTTTTGTCTTCGGGGAAGGCTTGGAGTTAGGTCGGGCCTGTCCTCATACAGGGGGATTTTGGACGAAAAATGAAAATTCAAAACATGTCCTCAAATGGTCAAACAATGTTCAAACAATTGTCCCCTGACGATTTTTTGATTATTTTTGAATTTTCCTCCTGTAGAGGGACGTGCCCGACTTAAGCTGAGAGAAACCTTCTGAGAAGGCCCGCTCCTTGACACTTCTCCCCCGCGCTCGCCGTCGATCGGAAACCCCGAACCCCAAAACTTGGGAGGCTTGGGAATGGGCACCAACACCAGCACAAGGGGGTTTGCCCCCACAAGGGGAACCCGATCCTCGATTTCGGTGTTGGTGGTAATCTTCCGGCCACCTAGGAAGCCCAAATAATACCACCATCACTGAGATCGGGATCGTGTTCCCTCGGTGGAGGCACACCGCCGATGTTGGTGTTGGTGTCGACCTCCAGGCCTCCGAGAAAAACGTTATCATCTCCTGAGGGCGCAATGTTTTTTCTCGATGGTCCAGGATGGTCCTCGATGGCTCCCGCCGAGAAAAAAGTGCACACGTCCGAGCGATGCCGAGCTTCGCTCCTCGAAGGCAAGGCCCTTTCATGGAGCGCCTCGGCTGCTCCGGGGCGGAATGCCTCCGTGGCGGCCAGGCGGGCCCAGGGAATCCTCCGTTTTTCGTCGGCGGCGCCGGCGTCCGCAGGCGCGTCCGTTGAGAGCCGTCGGGCCGCGCGGGCCACCAGGCATTTCGAGCAGGGGATCGCCTGCAGAGGTGATTTGCCCCAAGATCGACTTTCTCGTCGGGTCTACGGAAAATTGAAGGGGCCCTGGGACACACAAATAAATAGACACAAATAAAGATATTCACCATATTTTCACATATTTTCCAATATTTTCTAATATTTTCTGGGGAGTCGACGATTAATTGTGTCTGTGTGTTTCTTTTCCTCCTGAAAAATGCTCGACTTACTCCAAGGTCGACTTTCTCGTCCAGCCTGCGGAACATGCGCAGTATGCTCCGCAGATCTACGGATCACCCTTCGTGGCTCTCGAGCTCCAAGGGGCAAAACAAGTTTGGGGTACAGCAGTCCTGTACAGTCAACACGCATAAGGATGGGCAGCCTTCCCAAGGGTATCCCTGCATCCCTCCCTGCCTCCACGGTCCATCCTTGGCCACTTTCGTTGGCCGCGCCCCGCTCGAAAAACTTCGACATGGCCCTCCTATGCCCTTGCCTCCTTACCGCGCATCCTTATCATACGGGTTGACTGTAGTCGATCCCCTACTCTTAGGTCGGGCATGTCCTCCGACAGGCGGATATGGGACGAAAAATAAGAAATAGTCAAAACATATGACCAACAGATGCCCAATCATGAACAACAAATCGCCCCCAGACTACATTCGGACCATTTTTGGATAGTCCTCCTGTAGAGGGACAGGCGCGGCTTAACCCTACTGGAAGGCACGCTCGACAGGTGAACAAGAGGAGGGCGGCCTCCTCCAAGGCCCTCGAGATGGCCCTCGAGATGGCCCTCCAAGGCCCTTGCCTCCTTGCCGCGCATCCTCATCATACAGCTGACTGCACTCGATCCCCTGCTCGACCAGCACACTCGGCAAGTGGACAAGAGGAGGGCGGCCTCCTCCACCGCCCTCGAGATGGCCCTCCAAGGCCCTTGCCTCCTTGCCGCGCGTCCTCATCATACGGGCCGACTGCGCTCGATCCCCTGCTCGAAGGCATTACCGCGCGTCCTCATCATACGGGCCGACTGCAGTCGATCCCCTGCTCGAAGGCATTACCGCGCGTCCTCATCATACGGGCTGACTGCAGTCGATGCCCTGCTCGAAGGCATTACCGCGCGTCCTCATCATACGGGCCGACTGCAGTCGATCCCCTGCTCGAAGGCATTACCGCGCGTCCTCATCATACGGGCCGACTGCAGTCGATCCCCTGCTCGAAGGCATTACCGCGACTGCAGTCGATGCCCTGCTCGAAGGCATTACCGCGCGCCCTCATCATACGGGCTGACTGCAGTCGATCCCCTGCTCGAAAGCATTACCGCGCTCCCTCATCATACGGGCTGACTGCAGTCGATCCCCTGCTCGAAGGCATTACCGCGCGTCCTCATCATACGGGCCGACTGCAGTCGATCCCCTGCTCGAAGGCATTACCGCGCTCCCTCACATCGGGCTGGATGAAGTCGATCCCCGCCTCGAAAGGCATTTACCGCGCTCCTCATCATACGGCGCCGTGCAGTTCGATTCCCCTGCTCGAAGACATTACCGCGCGTCCTCATCATAAGGGCCGATGCAGTCGATCCCCTTGCTCGGACCGGGCACACCCGGAGCGGGGAAAAGAAGAGGCGGCCGCGGAGGCGATAGGTGGGAGGAGGAGGAGGAGGAGGAGGAGGCAGGAAGGAGGAGGATGAGCAGGAGGAGGAGGAGCAGGAGGAGCAGGAGGGAGGAGCAGCAGGAGAGGAGGAGGAGGAGGAGGAGGAGGATAGTGGGAGGAGGAGGAGGAGGAGGAGGAGCGGCCTGCTGTTCCGAATGGACACAAGCCGCGGCGGCGCGGACAGCGAGTCCTGCTCAGGATGCACAGGAACTGCTGTTGGGCACTGTACCCATCCTTTCCGTACCCCTTTCGGGCGTCCAGATCTTGCCGTCGCTCGGACGTCCATTCCCCGTGCTTTTTTCGGTTTCGTGCGTGGTTTTTTCGCCAAATGATCAAGGATGCTCCTCGATGGTCCTCGCCGGAGGAAAAATTCACACGTCCGAGCGATGCCAAGCCAAAGGGGGGGGGGGGGGGGGGCGAGGCCCGCACCGCCGAGAGAGCCGGCGGGGCGGGCGAGCGCGCAGGCGCGGCCTCGGGCACCGGGAGCCGGCGCACAGTCGGCCCGCATCACGGGGATATGCGCGATGCGGACGCGAGGGCCTCGGAGGGCCATGTCGAAGCACGCCCGATCGCGTCGTTCCAAAATCAGGACGGGAGGATTGGCGCTCCGGCTCTCACGGAGCGCTTGGAAGCGCTTGGGCGCGCCTGGGAGCGCCTGGGCTTGGATTTCGGGCCTGCCGACGCCGCGCTCGATTCGGGCAAATCTGGCCGATCCTGGCCGACCCGGCAAACACAAAAACGGCTCCCAATACACATTTTGGCCAGCCTCGGGGGGCCCTCGCCTGGCCTCGGGAGCGTCGAACATCGATTCAGGATGGAAAACCGGTCCCAGGGATAGGGTCGGGACTTCCAGGGACCCCGTACCGAAAAAATCAGAACGTCGCATGTCTGGGGATGCAAGGGCCTTGGACGCCCATTTCGAAGCTTTTCGAGAGGGGCGCGGCCAACGAAAGTGGCCAAGGATGGACCGAGGAGGCAAGGATGCAAGGGTACCCTTGGGAAGGTTGCCGATCCTTGCTATGCGGGTCGGCTGTACCTCCAGGGTGTGCGGGCGCTCAGAAAATATCGGCGGCGAGCTGGGGGGGGGGGAAGTGAGAAGGAGAAGGCCTTCTCAGAAGGTTCGGAGGTCCTCCAAAGTCTCCCGCCTTCCCCGAAGACGCGGAAACACTTCTCCTGAGGCACAGTGGGGGCTTCTGAGAAGTCCCGCCGCCTTCCGAGGAGGCCTCCTCGTTCTCACTCCCCCCCCCGCTCGCTCGCCGCCGAACATCGAAAACAGCCCAAAGCATTACCACAAACCTCGAAGCGCTGGATGTCTGCGTCCTGCCGCGGCCCTCGGCGGCCGCTCGGGACGACCCGCCCTCGGCGGGGCGCAGCTGCTGCCGGGCAGCCCGAGGCGGGGGGCCCTCCGAGACTCTGCGGACGGCGGCAGCGAAGCCCCGCGACGCCCTCGGCGGGGCGCAGCTGCTGCCCCTCCGCAGACTCTGCGGAGGGGCAGCAGCCAGACCCTGCTGGCGACGCCTGCGGGCGGCCGCCCTTGAGAGCCGAGGCCGCGAGTACGCTGCGACACCGTGGAGGACCGCCACCGGGGCCCTATAGACCCCGTCTCTCTGTGGCATGCCTCGAGCCGGCCTGATCTGTGTGAGGGCCCCGCGGCCCTGAAGCCCCTCGAAAACGCCCGGCGCGAAACAGACAGGCAAGGACTGGGTCGGGCCTGTCCTCCTACAGGGGGAGTTTGGACGAGAAATACGAAATGGTCAAAACATGCCCCCAAATGCAAAAAAACGAACTCAAAAAGTCGTCCCCAGACTATTTTTAGACTATTTTTGAATTTTCCTCCTGTAGAGGGACACGCCCGATTCAAGGCAAGGACCGCATCTCAGGGTCGGAAGGGGCGGCGGCCGCCCAAGGCGCCTCGTTGTGGGCCGTCACGCGCGCGCCCTTCTTCGCCAAGCCCTGCAGGAGGAGGCGGAGGAGGAGGAGGAGACAAAGCGCGGTGGTTGAAGATTGACGAATCTCCCATGGGCAAGACGCCCTTCAGTGAAAGCTGCCATGAGGCACTCCGAGAGCGCACGGCGCTCCTGGACGTCAAGGGGCAGCCGAAGGTCTCTGGCGCAGCGCGCGTCGATTGGCGACAGCGGCCCGGGACTGCACCGATCTACACACCTGCAGGCCAAGCCCTGTGCGGATTTCCTCGCTCGGCCTGTCCTTTGTGGGCGTTCCCTCGGTGCCCGAGGCGGGGAGGGCGCAAGAGGCGCCCCGGCAGGGCGAGGGGGCAGGGCGAGGGGGCAGCTGGGCAGCCACGCGGCGGGGGGAGGGGAGGGCTGGGAGGTAGGGATGGTGAGGAGGAAGGGGCCCCAGGACACACACACACACACACACCACACACATATATATATATATATATATATATATATATAATATATATAAAAATACACACAAATAAACTGATTCCCCATATTTTCGTACATTTTATGGGTTTTTGTCTTCCCCCCCACTTCCCATATGTTCCCATACTTTCTGGGGAATCGACGATTAATAGTGTCTGTGTGTTTCTTTCTCTCCTGAGAGGAGGAAAGAAGGAGCAGCGACATCCGATGCAACTGCGGCGGGGGCCCTCTTGTTATCACCGCTGGTCTGCGGACGCAGGCTTGCTTGCAACAAATAATCTGGCCGGGCTGGGGCCCGACAGAGTTATCGGTGTTTGCGTGCCCAGAGCGTTTTCATTTGCGGAGCTGTGCTCCCTGGCGCGAACGGCGGAACGACCCCTGCAACAGGACACTCTGGCAACACGGTTGGCTGCCGCAAAATTCATCGAACTAACGCTGATCGCGGACCAGCGAGGCGACAGGGCATCGCCTCGGCGAGCGAGCCGCTCTGGGGTGGGGGCTTCGCGAACTGGATGAGGACCTCAGGGCCTGGAAAGCCGGTGCAGCACCGATGGAGGCGTGGCTGTGGATACCGCCGCCGCCCTCATCGGACGAGGAATCCTCCTGGGCCTGGAGCCTCCTGGGCACATTCCTGAACCACCGCCCCCGCCAGATTGGAAAAGTCAAGACGGGCCTGACCTCGGATCCGCCGTCCTTGGGCCGATTCTCCAACCTGGAGCGGTGTCGGGAAGGCGCGCCGCAGGATGCGAACACTTCGGGCGGCGATGCTCCGAGTGGGGCGGGATAGGGCAGACATCGACCGAGCATTTTCCTACAACCCTCGTCAAAAATAAACTGAGGGATTCTGTTTTCGGTGATTGTATGGTCAGCGCTACTCCAATGCTGACGCTAGATATCTGACGTGGACGCAAGGGCTTCGAAAGTCCGACGACCCCTCCGCAGCATTGAAGAACGCAATTTCTAGCGAGTGCCCGAGAAGATCGATCGTTGTGCTTTCCATCTGCGTTTCTGTTTATTTTTGACGAGGCTTGTAGGGTGGAGGGCTCAGGGTGAAATCCACCTGGGCTTTCGCACCTCGAACATCGATCCGCCCTGTGATCCGCCTGTTGCAGGGTCAGGCCTCGAACATCTACCGAAAGGGCATTTCAGATTTCACCCTTTGCCCTCTGCCGAAAGGAAGTACCCGCATCGATACCAAGGGAGCTCGAGAACTAGGCCAGACACTTCCGCCCTACCTGCGAAATCGCGGCTTCGAAGTCAGCGGGGGAAAGCTTTCGCAGTCTCTCTTCGGCCTCTGTGGGCCCCCGCCCGGCTCCAGGACCGCCCAAACCTGCCCTGGGGGGAAGGTCGGATTAGGTCGGGCATGCCCCCCTACAGGCAGATTTTGAAGGACAGAAGTAACAATTGTCCTATTCCAAAATTGTGAAAATGGTCCCCAGACTATGTTTGACTATTTTTGGATAGTCCTCTTGTAGAGGGACGTGCCCGACTTCAGGGTCGGGGCTTCTGGTAACCCGCATTAACACAAATCAAGACATGGGATTACCTCTGGGGAGGGAGGAGGAGGGATGCTAGAGGCCTCGTGGATGGGGTCCGAGTAGATTGGGTCGAAGGATCGCGCCGCATCACCGATGCATCGGCGATGCACTGGCGACGTCGGCGATTCACCTGCGACGCCAGCGCGGGGAAAATCGGGCTCCGCGTCGAGCCGCATCGGCGATGCATCGGCGATGCGGCGCGAGGCTTCGACCCCATCTACTCCGACCCCATCTAGGAGGCCTAGAGATAAGGAGGGAGGATGGAGAAGGAGAAGGAAGTAGGCGAAGGACGAAGGCACCAGGGGTGCTGAGGGGTGGCGGTGCCAGGGGCTGCCCTCGGCGACGAAGGCCAGCAACGCAGCAGCCCGGTCGGACTCGGACGGGGACGCAGGGGAGCCCATGCCACTCAACATTCCGTTGTCTGTCAACTAGAAGAAAATGAAACAAACGACGTAAACATTGTAAACTTTTGGCGCTCCGCGCGGATTTCTTGGATCTGCGCTGGACCCCCCTCCCAGGCGCACGCAGGGCGCCAGGGGCGGCGCCAGAGGCGCCGCCGGGGGGCCCAGCGCGGATCCAAAAAATCCGCGCGGAGCGCCAACAGTTTATGTTTATGGCGCTTTCTTCGAGTCAACAACGCCCAAATGCCTCGGCGCCGCCTCGCGGACCAAGCCGCCCGCCCCATCAGCTCGCGCGCCCGCCTCTCTCGCAGAGAGCCAGCCAGGAGGCGGTCTCAAATCAGATCCGCCCTGGCGCCTCCCGCAGATCCGACGCCGCGGAAAACTAGCAACATAGCAACAATCTCGGCTGGAGACCTATCGACCCCCTCTTTCTGCTGCGCTGTCGATGCGGATCGCTCCGTGCCAGCCCTGGGGCCCGACAAGCCTGCGACAGCGCAGGGTGGACCTGTGCTAGCCGCTGGGGCCCCAAACACCGGCGACAACGCCGGCTGCAACGCCCGGGTGTCAGGGGGGGAGGAGGAGGAGGAGGAGGAGGAGGAGGAGGAGGAGGAGGAGGAGGCGGAGGAGGAGAGGAGGAGGAGGAGGAGGAGAGGAGGAGGAGGCGAGGGAGGAGGAGGAAGGAGGAGGAGAGGAGGAGGAAGGAGGGAGGGAGGAGAGGAGGAAGGGGATGGAGGAGGAGGAGGAGAGGAGGAGGAGGAGGAGGAGAGAGGAGGAGGAGGAGGAGGAGGAGGAGGAGGAGGAGGAGGAGGAGGAGGAAGGAATGAGGAGGAGGAGGAGGAGGAGGAGGGAGGAGGAGGAGGGAGGAGAGGGGAGGAGGAGGAGAGGAGGAGGAGGAGGAGGAGGATGGGAGGAGGAGGAGGAGGAAGAGGAGGGAGAGGATGGAGGAGGTGAGGAGGAGGAGAGAGTAGAGAGGAGGAGGCGGGCCGGAGGGAGGAGGGTGGAGGAGGAGGAGGGGAGAGGGAGCCGAGGAGGTAGGATTAGAGGAGGAGGAGGAGGAGGGAGGAAGGAGGAGGAGGAGGAGGAGAGGAAGGGAGGAGGAGAGGAGGAGGAGGAGAGGGAGGAGGAGGAGAGATGAGGAGGAGTGAGGAGGAGGGAGGAGAGAGGAGGAGGAGGAGGAGGAGGAGGAGGAGGAGGAGGAGGAGGAGGACCTCCGTCTCACGGCTCCAGTCATGACGCTGAGAAGAGCTCCGCCGGGGGAGGGAGCGACGAGCACGGAGCACGTGCCTCGACCCCCACGGCTGCAGCCTCCTCGGGCGCGCCAGCGCCCTGGTCTGGCACGAGAAGTCTCCGTTCAGGGGGGGGCCGTGACTTGCTTCCGCCAGGCGAGCGTCTTCTGATTCGGCGTGTCGCCACTGAGCGAAAGGAAGGGAGGGGGAGGGGGGGAGGGAGGAGGGGCCGTGACTTGCTTCCGCCAGGCGAGCGTCTTCCGATTCGGCGTGTCGCCACTGAGCGAAAGGAGGGGGGGGGGAGGGGGGGTAGGGAGGGGGGGCCGTGACTTGCTTCCGCCAGGCGAGCGTCTTCTGATTCGGCGTTTCGCCACTGAGCGAAAGGAGGGGGGGGGGAGGGAGAGGGGCGGGGTCTGGCTCCAGACGCTCTGCTTGCTGCGACTGTCTGGAACCGTGCGCGTCCTACGGGGGAGACTCCACCTGCTGGAGGCAGGCGACAGACGCGGCCAAGAGTTACTCCATGGGGGTGGGGAGGGGGCGGTACGAGGGCCCGCGCCGATCGGCAAAGCAATGAACAAGACAGCCTCCAGGATGGCTGCTTTTCCAAGCCCGCAGGGCCATCCAGTGAAACGGCCCGGGCTGAAGGGGCGTGCCTGGGCAGTGGGTCGAGAGGCCCTGGCGGATGCCCTTGCGGCGAGCAAGAAAAACCAGACACAGCCGCGAACCCCGACTTTGCAGTGCAGGTCGTGCGCGTGGCCTGCGAGGACAAAAAAAAGAAAGGAGAGGAGGATGCAAGCAGACCGCCTCGTGATGGCTCCCGCGCTGTCTGTCTCCCACTGGAGGCCATGCTTCGAGGGGTCCTTCCAGGCTTCCAAGGGGACTTCCCAGACTTCGAGCTCCGACAAGATAGATGCCGACACGTCGAAGCACACTTTAGGGCATGAGGCGATACTGCAGCACGCGACTGTCGTTCGTTCCCATCGCCGGTTTGTCTCAGAGCCCCTCCGACAGGGGCGTGCCTGCAACAGAAGGCAAACTCATTCGTACGTAAGGTCGCGGGCCAGTGCGGCGAACACAGAAGAAAGGGTCTGGCCATCGCTCGGACGTCCATTCGCTGTGTGTTTTTGTCGGTTTCGTGCGTGGCTTTTCCGCCAAATGATCAAGGATGCTCCTCGATGGCCCTCGCCGAGAAAAAACGCACACGTCCGAGCGATGCCAGGGGGTTGCGTCGGAGGTCTGGGTGGGGGGTCGGGCAGTCGCAGGGGGAGGGGAGGGCAGCAGCGAACAGTGGGAAAGGCGTGGTGGGGGAGGGGGGGTCGGGGCCGCGAGGGGGGAGGGCAGAGCAGCGGACGCAGATGACAGACAAGGAGCGACGCATCATCTGAAATTATGCATACACGTGAGAGAGAGAGAGAGATACAGAAACAACAAAAAACAAGAGAGAGAGAGAGAGAGCGATAGAGAAAGATGGAGGGAGAGAGAAACAGAGGGAGAGAAGAGAGAGAGACAGAGAGAGAGAGAGAGACATCACACAGCAAGAGAGATAGAGAGAAAACGGAAGGCAAACAAAGAAACATCGGAGGCTAGAGGCTAGAGGAGAGAGAAAGAGAGAGAGAGAGAGACAGAAAGAAACACGCATGCCCGCTCACCACTTCCGTGCGGCCCGCGGCGCCTTGCGCTGCACCGCCTGCTGTTTGTACAGTGTCGAGCCGCGGAAGGCTTCGTGCTTCAAGGTCTCGATCTTCTCCTCTTGGGGGGGGCCCTGCCACCTTCGCCATCCTCCTCGCTTCCGCTCATGCACCCCTCTCTCTCTGCCCTCCGCCTAGTCCCCCTCATTCACAGCCGCCGCCGTCACAATCATCACAATTCGTCCACCACCGCCATCCCCTTCGCCGCCACCGCTGTTACCCGCACTACCCGTCAGCCTCGACCTCCTCGCCCTTCATCCGCCTTCGATGATCCCTGCGCCGTGGGTGATCTACCTCGCTTACCAAAGCCTGCCCCTATACCCCCAGCGGTCGAACATGAGAATAAACCGCCGCGACAATAGTTTGGCCGTTTTATTTTTCCACGGCGAATGAAGGCGAGAGGGTCGCAAGATTTGCGACCCCATCCCCCGTAGACTCCTGCACCAAGACGACAAAGCGCCGCAGTGGCGCAGCCGCGGCGGAAGAAAAAGTTCTTCCACTGATATTAATTAGTTCTAACTATTTATTTCAGGGGATTGATTCTTCCACCTATTTTGGACGCATGGAGAATCCTCCCGCGCCAGCGCGAGGGAACTCCACTGGGAAAGGCATATTGGCCTAAACTTACGTCCCGCCGGAGTAGTGCAGATTGAAAATGTCAAGGGAGCCTGCAGCGAACATACCTGGCCCGAACAAGCTGACAATAAAACGGCACAGCCCCACCTTGCGAGAGCCCGACCCGTCGACAACATCCGCACTGCGTCGCTGCTTTTTTACAGCTTGACGCCACCATCTCGGGCGCAGAAGGTGTGCTTTGCCAACGCCGATGCGCCTTTTCCACCCGTCATTCCACGGACCGTTCGTGTGGGCCCGAGACGCTTCCACGCAGTGCCGTGCCGACATGTCCGTTCGTCCGTCCCCGTGTAGCACAAGCGCGTTGTCTCCCAACTTGATCCTGCGAAACTCTCGCGCGCTCGCCGCGCCATGTGTGACGGATGCGGCTGGGTGCTGCCCTGGGGCGAGTCGCTCGACACTGCCGGCAAGCACTGGCTTGCTTCTGGACCGCGACGTCCGTGGCCGCCACCGAGAGGACCCGCGGCGCGGCCTCCGAGGGAGGCATGGCCGACTCCGCCTTCGCTGCCCACCCCTCCCAGCCGCAGCTCCCGAGAGCGCGATGGGGCCGCGGCCAACGGCGCCGCCAGCGGTGCCCCCGGGGCCGCCCAGCCGAGGAACTTTTGCTGACGTCTGCGCTGCTGAAAGAAGGTCGCTTCTCGAGATGTGGCACGCCGTTTGGGCTCAGCAGCACTTTTTTCCGGGCGGCTAGGAAGTAAGAGCTGTCCGCAGTCTTGATCCCAAGTCAATCGCAGCGTCTAGAGGCCTCCTAGATGGGGTCCGAGTAGATGGGGTCGGATGATCTCGCCGCATCGCCGATACATCGGCGATGCGTCGCCGAGGCGTCGGCGATGTATTGGCCATTCACTGGCGACGTCGGCGGTGCATCGGCGACGTCGGCGTGGAGAAAATTGGGCCCCACATCGAGCCGGATCGCTGATGCGGCGCGATGCGGCGCGATCCTCCGACCCCGTCTGCTCCGACCTCATCCCGGAGGCCCAGATGATCCCAAGTCAATCGCAACGTCTGCCCCCGGGACGCTCTCAAGCCCGGGAGGAGGGGGAGGAGGAGGAGGAGGAGGACGAGGAGGAGGAGGGGAGGAGGAGGAGGAGGAGGAGGAGGAGGAGGAGGAGGAGGAGGACGAGGAGGATGAGGCGGAGGAGGAGGCAGCAATCGCAACGTCTGCCCCCGGGGCGCTCGATCCCGTCCCCGTCAAGCCCGCTGCTCTTCGCCGCAGGCCGCCCTCTCCAGGGGGCACCCAGGGGCCACCAGAGAAGCGGCCCCCTTCGGGGGGGCGCCGTGGCCGTGGTAAACAGCGCCGTGCCGTGTTCTTTTGTGCTGTTGGCGACTCCTGGAGGTCAGGGCAGGGCGAGGAGCAGGAGGTGAAGGAGGAGGAGGAGGAGGAGGAGGAGGAGGAGGAGGAAGATGAGGGCGAGGGGCGAGAGGAAGAGGAGGAGAAGGAGGAGAAATAGGAGGAGGAGGAGAAGGAGGATGAGGATGAGGAAAAGGAGGAGGAAGAGGAGCAGGACGGCGGCGACGACGACGACGACAATGACGACGAGGAGGATGAGGACGAGGACGAGGGCGAGGACGAGGACGAGCACGAGGACGAGGACGACGACGACGAAGACGACGACGACGGCGGGAGGAGCGAGCGGGCAGCTCCAGCGGCGTCTGCACCACGTTGCAGAACTCCGTGGTGGCCGTCATGGCCTCCTTGCCGTCGCCCTCGCCGCCAGGTCCGTGGCGGAAAAAAGGTGAAGGAGAGATCCCAGACCCCAGATCTCCGATGGCATGCCTTCTTCAATCAGCGCGTTTGTCCTGTTTCACACTCTGGGGGGAGGAGGAGGAGGAGGAGGAGGAGGAGGAGGAGGAGGAGGAGGAGGAGGAGGAGGAGGAGGAGGAGGAGGAGGAGGAGGAGGAGGATGGTCCCCGGGCCGTGAGCAATGACCCGGGGCGGAACCATCGGCTCCGGGGAAGGAGTCGGGAACTCCGGGGAGCCACGCTGCGGAAACGTCATGACGGCGGCTGTCGGGGGGAAGGGGGGATCTCAGACTACCTCGGGCTGTAAACAAAAACAAGCGGAGGACAAGTGTTGGCCATTTCGGACTCTGGCGGCCCCTGCGGGGCCCCAGGGCCGTCAAGGACCGACAAACCAGGGTCCAGGAGGAGAAGCTGGTTCAGGGGGAGGGGTCGAGAGCCCGAAGGGCCCATGTGCCGAAAGGGTTCGTGAAGTCGGGAATCTGGGTTCATCTCCTCGTCACGCTCAACGCTCGTTCTCCCTGTCCTCCTCATCTCTCCTCCACCTCCTCCTTCTCCTCTTCTCTCCTCCTTCTCCTCCTCCTCCTCCTCCTCCCATTCTCTCCTCCCTCTCCGTTCTCCTCCCCAATCGCCTACCGGTGGCGAGGGCAATGGGAAGAGGTTGAGGGGGCGCAGACTGACGGATATGCATAGCTGCATAA